AAGCCAGAAATGGCAGATTAAAGAAGAATGGAGGTATCCATTTATTCATGATCAGTAAGCTAACTGTAAAAATCTGGGCCACCTACACAAAGTGTGAATGAGTTTCTGTGATCCAGTCAGAAGAGGGTTGGAAATTGGCCACACCCTAGAGTGAGGCTGCTGGGGCTCAGAGGGTTTGTGGGGTCTAAGCTCAGAGCCATCTAAGGGAACGTGACTCCTATGCCCCTCTGCTCCAAACCTAACCCTTCTGACTTTGGCCATTGGCCATGGGGTCTAGCGGGTATTTGCCCCATTGGTAAGTGACATCCAGTCCAGAAGGCCAAGAAAATTTGGGGCACCCTGGAGTGAGCAGAGACGCACGCTCTTTTCTTTTTTTTTTTTTTTTTGGTTAGGTAATGGGAGTAAGTGATTTGCCCAGAGTCACACAGCTAACAAGTGTCTGAGGCCGGATTTGAACTCAGGTCCTCCTGACTCCAGGGCCAGTGCTCACAATCTCTTTTAAAAACATGAATACAGAGAGGCACAGACCTTGGGAGCCCAGGGAGAGCTAGGGCAGCTCGTTAGTGCAATAGCTGGAACTCAGCACCTGTAAAATGCAGGAGTTGACCTAGGTGGGCTCTGAGAGCCCTTCCCAGCTCTGGATCCGTGATCCTCTAACCTCTTTCTCAGCACCGAGGTTGGGAGGGAAGATGGGGCAGGGTGGTCCTTGAATGTCTAGGCAGTAACCCAGAGATGGTGACAGATACACCCATATCCAATATAGTCCATCGCATTGGACAGCTGGCCAGGCTTTGGGTGGGGCTCCTGAAAATGACCCTCGGTCAAAGGGCCAGAACAGCATTGGCCTCCCAGCTTGCTAGGAGCGCCAGCAGGCTGTGGGTTTGGCCTTCCCAGATAAACTCAAGACTGGCTGCCTATATGCTTCACAATGGACTTTGGCCAACTGAAAAGTCACCCTGGTTTTATTTTTGCTTTAATTTCCTGTTCTCAGTCCTTCTCTCTTCTTCTATCCCTTCTGAATTCATTTCTCCCTCTTTAGGCTCCTCTGGGATCTCTCTTCATGCCCTGGTCAGCTTTGAGGAAAGAAATGTTTCAAGGAAGAAGCACCCAGGTCCATGTGATCCTCAGTGGCAGCGCCTGGATGTTTGGGCGGCCTGGGCATCAGAAGTGGGAAGGCTGCTGAAGCGATGGCCTGAGGCCCAGCTGACCCCCAAGTCTAAGATAACAGGGTCCTGGAGCATCCTGGAGCTGCTCTGTGTGAGCTGTATTTCAGTCTTAAGCTCTACTGGAGGTAAAGGAGAGTGGTCCACTAGCACTGGCCTGGACAGAATGGCAGGATAACCTTGGCTTTTGAGGGGGAGGGGAAGGAGCTGCTGGGGGATCCCCTGGAGAACTAGGGGTCCAGACAGAGGGGTGGACTGGCTTTCTGCCTTGGCCAGATCTCCAGGGGAGCACAGATTTAGAGCTGAGAGGGGCCTTACCAGTCACAGGCTACAATCATGGTTCTTTGGCTGGACGTTACCTCAGAAGGGAGTTGGTCGATGTCCTTATTTTTACAAATGTGGAAATGGAGACCCCAGAAAGGTGCAGCCAATCAATCCACAAGCACTTCTTAAGCACTTACTATGTCCTGGACATCGTACCGTGCACTGGGGACACAAATACCAAGGTGGAACGCCTCTGCCTGTAAGGGGCTGATGCTTGACTTGGGGAGATAACAGGAGCACATCTGTCTACAAAGGAGAAAAGGTTTCGTGTAGAAAGAAATCCTTGAGGGAAAGTCAGTCTTTCAGGAGGCAACTGGGAGGAGAGAGTCCTTTACAAGCCTGGGGGACATCTCGAGAAACAAGATGGTGGGTTGGGCATGGGCAAATGTGGCTCAGGGCTCCGGAGCAGAGTGCTGGGAGGTCAGGAGCGTGGAAGGAGGCTGGGGAGGGGGGGAGGGGCACCGAGGGCCCCCTTGCAAAGAGATTTCAATATTTATATTTGGTATTAGAGACAAGAAGGAACCCCTGGAGTCGGTTGAACAAGTAGTGACAGGGTCAGATCTGGGCTTTAGGAGAATCCCTCAGGCAGCTGTGTGGAGGATGGATGGATGGATGGGCCAGGGGAGGGGCTTCTCCAAGTTGTGGCAGAGTCCAAGGAGCAAAGAAGTTCAGAACCAATTACACTCCTCCTCCGCCATGGGAGCAGAGGCCTAAGCAGAAAGGGAGCTCAGCCCCAGGGCTCTCTAACACCCACCAGGGCCTTCCAAAGCAGCTATTAAAGATGGGAGATCCAAGCCCTGATTTCTTCCTGAGCTTGGAAGCAAGGTCAGTGCCTAGATTAAATCAAATAGTCCAGAATGTGATCTGTGGTTTGCAGTGTGAGCCTCTCACGTGTCATGGGCTCCTAGAGACTAGAGAGATCGGATACTGTTTTATGGGAAACACGCGAATCATTTCCTTGAAGTCCTTACATAAATGCCCTCCCCATCCTCCCCCATCCTCATAGGAGGAATAGCTGGTAATGAATAGGAAGAGGAGCTGGGTGCCTGGAGATTGCAGCAGGTTTGTGGCTTTAGGTGGAGGGGGGCTGGCTTAAAATTAATATGCACATGAGTGTGTGTGAATGTGTGTACGAGTGAGTGTGAGGATAGGTGAGTCTGTGTGTGTATATATGTATGTATGAATGTGTGTGAGTGGGTGTGAAAGTGTGTGCATATATGTGAATCTGTGTAAGTATATGTCTACATTAATATGTGAATGTGTGTGAATATATGTGTGAGTGGTGGGTGTACTGTGTGAGGATAGGTGAGTCTGTGTGTGTATATATGTATGTATGAATGTGTGTGAGTGGGTGTGAAAGTGTGTGCATATACGTGAATCTGTGTAAGTATATGTCTACATTAATATGTGAATGTGTGTACGAGTGAGTGTGTGTATATGTGGGAGTGAATGTGTGTGAATATACGTGTGAGTGGTGGGCGTACTGTGTGAGGATAGGTGAGTCTGTGTGTGTATATATGTATGTATGAATGTGTGTGAGTGGGTGTGAAAGTGTGTGCATATATGTGAAGCTGTGTAAGTATATGTCTACATTAATATGTGAATGTGTGTGAGTGGGTATGAGTACATGTGAGTGTATGTATAAGAGTTGGTATGTGAGTGTGTATAAGGTTGAATGTGCGATTGGGTGTGTGTATGTGTGTATGTGCCTGTGAGTGAGTGTCTATGTGCGTATGTGTATAAATGTGTGTGAGTGTACATGTGAGGTGTGTGCTAAAGACCAGCTGGGCAGTAAAAAGCCACCAAGCAGCTTTGTTTGTAATGGAAAGAACATTTGGCAGTCACCCAAGACCTGGGTTCAAATGTTACCTGAAACACTAGCTGTGTGATCGTGAGGGAATGACTTAGCCAATTTGACATTCAGTTTCTTCATCTGAAAAATGAGAATGATAGCATGTGTACCTCCCTGAAATGGCATAAGGTCTGGAATGTCATCATCATGATAGACATCATGGTGGAGGGGAGAGAGAGTGAGTCTCAGGGTCAGCAAGACTTGGACTGCCATTGTCTGGCTGGGTGACCCTGGCAAGTCACTTGCACTCTGAGCAACTTTGGAAGACTACACAGTGGAGAGAAATGCCTTGGGGGAGGGGCTCTTCACCAGGAGCTCACTCCATCCGTGGAATGCCAGGTCCACTCTTCTTATGTAGCCCCAGCTGTTATTATTTGCAGGGATGCTACTTCCTTCTGAAGACAAACACAATTTCACTGTCTTCATATGTGAGAAGGTCAGGCAAGGGGAAGGAGGAGAATTGTTTTGATCTTTTAATTGCCAAATGTTGATGGTCTTTTCTCCATCCTAATCCTTCTCCAGCTCTCTGCCAAATTTAACAGTCACGGTGGTCTGTGAATCCTCATTTGATCCCGGTTAGTCTCTCATCTCTGGGTTGTCCTGCTCTTTCCTGGCTCAGCCTCTAGCTGCCTGCCTGCTCCTTCTCAGTCTCCTTTGTGGGTCCCTCATCCATGTCATGTTCCCTCTGGGTGTTCTCTAAAATTCGATTCTTGTTTCTCTCCTCTTCTCCCTCTATGCTGTCTATTTCCTGGTAACCTTGTGGGCTTCCAGGGGTACAACTATCATTTCTATGCAGATCGCTCTCTGCTCAATGTATACAGTCCCAAGTCTCTCCCCAGGCTTCAGTCTGACATCATTAGTTACCTATTGGACAGTTCCGAGTGGATGTCCCAGGGTTATCTCCAGCTCAATATATCCCAAACTGAATCCATTCTCTTCCGCCTCCCCCACTGTCCCCCTTTTCTGTTTCTGTAGAAGATGCCACCATCCTACCAGCCTCCCAGATTCTTAACCTTCTCATTATCTTCATCTCCTCTCTGTCCCTCACCTCCCATATACAGCCAGTGGCCAAATCTTGTAAAAATAAAACCAAACCGGGCTGGGGTGACATCTGTGGTCTCATGCCCCTCTGTATACTGAAGTGAGCAAGAATGAGGATTAAGGGTGGGAGTGGGACTGAAGGGGAAGCCTGTGAGCTAGATCCTGAAAATCTTGAGAAAAGAGAGAGAATGGCCTGGGGCCAAGTAGATGCTTTCAATAAGGAGCTAGATGCCACTACAGACAGAAGGAGCGAACCTCCGAGGGTGAGAGGCTGGCAACAGAGGGAAATATTTGGAAGTAGATGCGAGAGCCGACAGTACTTAAGGTGGGACAGGAGAGGGTGTGTACCAAGTGCTGGAGGGGGTGGCCAGGGAGGCAGGGTCTTTTGTAGGGGCAGCTAGGGTTCCACAGATGCAAGAAGAGAGGAGGATTATGAGAAGAAGAGGGTTAATATGCTGGACAGTTTGTTAATGTGGGAGCTGGGAGATTCCAGAGGCGCAATGGAAGGGGGGAGCAGAGCGGGGGGTTGCAGGTTACCCTAAAGGGTAACTGCGCCTGCCGGTGCCCGTCTCTCCAGGGCTTGCTGACTCTTTTTAATGCTCACCCCTGCTCCCAAACAGGGCTTCAGGACCCCCCTGAGGCGGAGTCGGCCTGGGGAATCTCTCGCTGGAGCAGAGCAGTAGTTATCAGGGATGCTTCAGACGGCGCTGGACTGCAGGCAGGGAGACGTAAAACTCAGCTCTTCGTGACCTTTTCTGGGAGCAGAAAGCAGCTGGAGAACTAAGTGCTGTTAGTGTCCAGGGAGGTTTCCCACCCAGTTGCCCGATGTTCCCCACTCCACCCCGCAAAGGAGAGGCTTGGGAGGGTAAAAGATCACGGAGCTCAAGGTTACGCAGCCCAGACCCCTCATTTAACTGAGATCACACCGCTAGCCTGTGGTAGAGCTGGGCTTCTGCACACCCAACCGCAGTCAGATTCTCCCCTTTCTGATGACGAGAAGGAAGCGTCGGGGCTGGGACAGCAGGATCCCCAGACGATGTGATACCCTTTTCATCTGAAGTCCGGCGGTTCCCTCGATTTGACCACAGTCTGCGACCTTTCTGTGGAAAGACCTTCGAGGGTGAAAGAGAAATATTCGCACCCTGTGGGAAATGGAGAAGGGGCCCTAACCCTTCTGTGGTGCAGAGACCCCAGGAAGCTCCGCCCAGCCCGGGGAGCTGGGACTGAGCTGGGGAGGAAGGAGCTCATACTGAGAGACAGAGGAAGTCCAAGAGCACAGAGAGGAGCACCCCGGCTCGGGCACAGTTCAGCTGTGCGCGAAGAGAGGAACAGAGTAAGGGAACCCTCCGGCCCCTTTGTATCTCACCACCACTGATCATATTGGTGAGTATCCCGGCTGGGGCACGGTAACCGGGGGGGGGGGGGGGGGGAAGGAAGGGGAACTCCTCAAGGGGTCAGTGCAAAAGTGCGTGCTAGGTGACCTGTGCATGTAATAGCAGCAATAGCTGTTATCAGGCTATAACAGCAAGCATTCCTGGGTGGAGGGAGCGCCAATCCAAGAGTATCTGAAATTCTGGGAGAGGGGCTTGCTTGACTGTTTTCTTAATTGTCTAGACTTAAGAAAGTGATGGAGAAAATTTTAATAATGCAGATCAAATTGGGCGGTATGTCTTGGGTACATTTAGTTGTTTTCTTTTCCCTCAGACAGCCAGTTAAACATTTACCAGCACACCCAGTTTAGAAGTCAGTCAAGCATTTGCGAAGGGCCTACTTTGTACCTGGTGCTTCTGGGGGTTCTGGGGAGACAGTCGCAGAAACGAGACGTGCCCTGCTCTCAAGGAGCTCACATATGATGAAGTGTTTTGTTCTCATAGCTGTATGATCCTGGGCAAGTCACTTCACCGTGTTGGCCTCAGTTTCCTCTTCTGTAAAGTGAGCCAGAGAAGGAAATGGCGAACCACTCCAGTATCTTTGACAAGGAAACCCCAAATGGGGTCACAAAGGGTCAGACGTGACTGAAAAAAAAATGACTGAACAACAAGCCTGTGGGGGCAGCTAGGCGGTACAGTGGATAGGTCACCAGCCCTGGAGTCAGGAGGACCTGAGTTCAAATCCAGCCTCAGACACTTGATACTTACTAGCTGTATGACCCTGGGCAAGTCGCTTAACCCTAATTGCCTAGCAAAAAACAAAAAACAGAACAGAACAACAAACCTGTGAATTAAGCAGGACAGGCATTACTGTTCCCATTTTAGGGCAGGGGAAACTGAGTCTTACAAAATACTAGGTGGCCTGCACTGAGCCACACAGATAGTAGTGGTAGACTCCAAGGTTAACACTCTTTTTATTTGGGCTGAGTAGGGGTGGACTGGAGAGGCCATGGATAGAGAGCTAATCTCCAAATCTGAAAGACCCGGGTTCAGGCCTCTCTTCTGACTCCTTTCCTGTGCAGGGGCCAAGTCGAGGAGGCCTCTGTGCAGCCCCAGGCAACCCTCTAAGCTGAGCTGGCTGTTCTACGTGAGTGGGAGGGATTACTCATCATCTGTCCCCTGCACCAATGGAAGTGGGGAGAGGGGGGAGATGGTTTAGAATTAGGAGATCCTTCGTGTTTGTCTTCTTTTAAACATCCTCTTCTTTCTAAATAATGTTTTATGCACCGGCCCAGGAGCCACAGGGAACAACGTGTGCATGCCTCATTGCACACCCATAGTCCTCCACTTTGTCACCCATCTCTCAGCGGACAGGCAAGATCTCGATCATCCTCTCCCATCCTCCCCCCATGAAAACATCTCCTCCAGTGCATTCTCTCCTTCTTGTCTGACAAGAAATTTCTTCTTGAATCTTTCTTCCCCTGGAGGGACCTGGTGGAAAAGATAGTATAACTAAGGGAACCCCCGCCTGCTGGTGCCACAGCTGCACAGAGTCAGGCCCTTCTCTCCCTAGGCCTCAGTTTCCCCCTCTGTCGACTAAGAGGGCTGGGCTAGATGACTTCTAAGGCCCCTTCCAACTTTAGCATTTGGAGCTTCTAGGCTAGACATTTAATTATGCGATAATTATACAATAATAATTGTTACTGTATGCTTAGCACCCCCAACCCCATGTGCTGGGAAGGAAATAAGAGAATACAGGGTCTCTCCTCTCCCAAAGGCAGTGGAAAGACTGAGCACAGAATGTGGAGTCGGGGGTCCTGGATTTGAATCCCAGTTCATTGACTACCTGTGTGACCTTAACTTTCATAGACCTCAGTTTCTACATCTATATAATGAGGCGATTGGACTAGATGTCTCTGAGGTATGAGCAGATGACTCCAGAATCCTCTGATCTTTCAGAGAGCTCGTGGTTTGGGGGGAGGGGGGTGGTGAGGAGGCAGGTGGCAAATGAGGCAGCTAGGGGGCACCATAGAGCATAGGGCACTGGGCCTGGAGCCAGGAAAACATGAGTTCAAATCCAAACTTGGATATTTTCTAGCTATGACATGCTGGGCAAGTCTCTTAACCTCTGTTTGCCTCAGTTTCCTCATCTGAAAAAATGGGGATAATAATAGAACCGGCCTCCCAGGCTTGTTGCGAGGAGCAGCTGAGATAATATTTGTAAATCACTGTGGCAGCCTCAAGTAGCCAGATAAGTGCTAGCTATTGTGATGGAAGGAGGAAGCCCATTTCTGGGAGGTCCTTGGTAATGGCCCCCAGTGCTGTGAGCTGGCCAAGCTGGCCTGGCCTGAAGGGGCAGCCTTCAGGCAAGCGCTAGGGACAGAGAGGGGAAGGGGCGGAAGGAGGAGAGGCAGCTTGGGCGTCCTTGTGGCTTGCTTCCTGCCAATCGGAGAATGTTGGGGCTCGAAAGGGTGGGATCTTCTCTCACCTCTCGCCTCTTGCCTCTCCATCTGGCTTGTCTCGCTCACTTCTGGGAGCACCACCCCCCCTTCAGAAAGGCCACTGACCAACTGGACGCTGTCCAGAGGAGGCAGACTGGGCCATATAAGGATTGGCTGGAGAACGTGGGATGTTTGGTCTGGACAAGGGGGGACATGCGAGCTGAGCTTTCATGGGGAAGAGGGAGAGAGCAGAAGTAGAAGCAATGAGGGCTGGGGAGGCGGACTGGGGCTCAAATTTCCTGACACTTAGCACTGGCCCCAAGGGGAATGTACTACCTGGAGAGGTAGTGAGCTCCCTGTCCTTAGAAGTCATTGAGGGCATTCTTGTTCAGCTATGGCTGGACTTGCCTGCGAAGCCCCTAAGAAGCTCGTTAAGCCATCCAGTCTGATCCCTTCATTTTACAGTGGAGGAAACTGAGGTTGAGTGACTTGTCACCCGGGGGCAAGATTTGAACACGGTGTTCTTTGCACTCCTAAACCCACATCTCAGCATCAGGAAGCTCCATGAGCCTGGCTGGAGACTGGAAGCTGCCCAGCTCCTTCTGCTTGCGTGAGCAACCTTTGCTTGGTGCCTGGTCCTTCCCTCTCTGGCCTCTGGCCTCTCCCCTCTGCCCAGTCCCCTCCACTTCTGCTCTAGCAGGTGCTGGGAAAGCTTGACTCTGTGGCATGTCCCATTAGAACATAAGCTCCCTGAGGGCAGGGACCTTTTTTGCCTTGTTTTTTTCATCATCAACCACAACCACAGCAGTAATTTATTAAGAACTTAATATGTGCTATGCACGGTGCTAAGCAATAGGAATAAATACAAATAAAAAGATAGTCCTTTGCCCTCAAGGAGCTTACATTCTATTAGGGGAAGACAACCCATAAAAGGAAGCTTAGCATGATCTTTAATGGTTTTCTGTGTAGAAGTCTTCTCTTCCTTCTTGATCATGAGCTTCCCAAGTGCAGGGGTCTTATGTCTTCTCTGTACCTCCTTTCAACAGCTACTTTTAAAAAAAATGTTCACATTAGTCATATTGTAAAGAAGAATTAGAGCCAAATAGGAGGAACCACCAGAAAGAGGAAACAAAACACCACAGAAGAAAAAAATAGCAAATAGTCTGCTTCAATCTGCTTCAAACTCCGTAGTTCTTTCTTTGGATGTGGAGGCCTTTGGAGATGTCTTAGATCATTTCATTGCTGAGAAAAGCTAAGTCTATCAAAGTTAGTCATCACACAGTGTGGCTGTTACTGTGTACAATGTTCTCCTGGTTCTGCTCACTTCACTCAGCACCCAAGTTCTTTGACAGCCTAACCAGTCCTCCTATGGCACAGACTCGAGGCCCTTCACTGTCTTGGCTGCCCTCCCCCGGATACTTTCTGGCTTCTTTACATCCTTCCTTTCTGCGGTGCCCAGCACTGACCACAACACTCCAGATATGTCCGAACCATGCTCCCTGCTTTTATGCTTTTGACCCTCTGCCCCCATCTTTGCTCTTTCTTTCGGCCTCGTCCCTGGCCTGGGGAAGGGAATAGGGAGGTGAGAGGGAGCCCTCGTTCTGACGCAGGGTCTTCCACTCAAGGACAAAATCTCTGATTCACAGGAAAGGTGAAAGTCTGAACACACCACTTGTCCTTCCCCCAGATTAGCATTTTAAAGGAGGACCATCCCTACCCCAAAGGAATAATTGGCATTTGGAGTAGTGGATAGGAAGTAGCCTGGAGTCCAGGAGACCAGGATTCAAATCCTGCCCTTGCCATGTGCTATGTGTCCTTGGGCATCACCCAAGGACTTAACTTGCTTTAACTTCCCAGTGCCCAGGTCACTTTCTGAGATTCTAAGATGCAGAGCAGCCCATTGGAGCTAAGCTCTTCCCTAGGGAACTCCCTCTACTGCTTAAATCAAGGTGCCCCCCCCCAAACCCAAAGAAATAAACAAACAAAAAATGAAACCGGTTGATGGGAGAAATGTCCTAGATGAGGTTTGTCCGTATTTTGGCAAAACATTTGATCCAACATTTCATGCTATTCTTGTGGAAAAGAAGAAGAAAAGTGGGCTGGACAAGGTGCCAGTGGATGGATTTGGAAGTGGTTAAATGTCTGGACTCAGCCTGTAATCATAGTGGTTTGATGTTAGCTGGGGAGGAGCGGAGTGGTCCAGAAATCAGCCCTGTGGCCCTAGCGCATTTAACATTTGTATCAGTGCCTTGGATAGAGGTGTGGTTGGATGATCTGCCTGTTTCTGACACCCAGCTGAGAGAGTCAGCTGCCATAGCCGACATCAAAGTCAGGTCCAGAAAGGTCCCTGGGGCCTGCCTAGAGCATTGGCTGAATCTAAGACGAAATTTAATAGGGCTAAATACAAAGGCAAACACTTCAGTTTGGAAAAAAAAATCTGTTCTACAAATACACATCATAAAAAGCATGGTTAGGTAACAGTTTATCTGAGAAAGATCTGGGGGTTTTCAAAGCACCTTTAGCTTAATATGAGTCAGCAGCGTGATGTGCTGCCAGAAATTCAAGGTGATCA